CGCTTTACGCCATAAAAAAGGGAGTACTCGAACAAAAAACACACAAAAAAGAACGCAAATGTATAAAGTTAATTTGCAGAGAGTGAAACCATTGATACCCTGGGAAAAGGAATTTCATTTTAGGCATCCCATACTTTCAACAAGTTGATGGCATTCCACTTCATTACCATTCGACCTTGCCACGGGATTCACCGGCGCGGCGGTGTTTCAAATTCAGATGAAACTGCTAATACATCCCACGGGTTTTAGCCGCAAGCAAAAGGGAGTAGCAAAAGTTTTAAAGGAAATCAACAAGAGTCGGTCACCGCGACTTGAATACACTTATCACATGCCTAATGCAGCGTTCAAAGGACTTAGGTGTGGCCAAATACGCAAAAATGCGTTGCAGTGTGACCAAACGCTCATGGAACTCGGGGTCAAGCTTCTGTTTGCAGTTTTAAAACGTCCTCGAAGAGTACAGAAACTATTCTAAACCAGAGTTTTGGCCGCCTCTTACAATTTTGCTCTGTGCAAAATACAAATGAGGGTTTTTCCTACTCCTAGAGTTCCTTATTTTTTTTTATTCAACCTTTCTTACCTTCCCCAACGCCGGGAAAAGTTCACTTCGTTCACTCGGTTACAGTTTTCTTTGCCCACCCCCGGTCGTCCCCCTTTTAAGCTTATAGTTTTCCATCCCTTTGCCAAGCGCGCCAAAAAAAATTGAGTAGGAAAATGGGAAGTAGGAAGAGCGAACAAGCAAAAACCGAGCAACAGTAAAACGAGCGTTTTTTATTTGCCCCTTTTTTTATTCTAGTGGAGAAGTGGGAAGGTTTTTGGGGGTAAATAAATTAAATGCTTGACTTTATTTTGCCCGGCGATGTTTGCCTTGTTTTAATATTTTCCTTGCCTTTCGCTGGATATACTTTTCTGGTTTTTGTCCGTACTTTTCCCTTTGTCTCCCTCACTTTTTATATATATTTTTTTTGTATATTTTGTAGCCCTTTTTGTGCCATTTTAGAGCATGATTTGTAGTTCGTTTCGTTAGATGGAATTCCAATCTGCTGGCAAACAAAAGGGTGGAAATGTACGAAAAGATTTCCATAAGTTCTCGAGGGGCGGCGGGAGGGAGGTGGGTATGGGGTGGGGGGGAAGGTGGGCGTTTGTGATAAAGGAGTACAAAAGGATACACTTTGAACCTGTTGCGGTTCAGAGAACCTGATAAAAACTTGAATTTCTTCGGGCTAAATCGTTTACGGAGCACCAACTTTATATACCTTGCAGATGTACGTATGTGTACGTACGTACATATATGTACTGATATACAGATGCAGCATGTAATCTTTGAAAATACTTATTTTATTTTAGCATGTGCAATTGCACTTTCTGCATATCACACATACGCAGTGTTGCCTCCATAAATTATTTATTGGTTTTGCTAGGTTTCCCTTTGGCTCGTTGATAACAACTAATTAATTTGCAAGGGGTCCACTCTAATGTCGCTGCATGCCAACAAAACACTCTAAAACCAAATCAAGTTTACACAATGCACTATTGCAAAGCTCGCTTATCAGCCAAGGTTTTTTACAATAAACACAAAACGAATATGAATAAAATGCAGTAAAAAGTTTTGAATGCGGTTGGTGCACACACAGACACACACATACAAATTGAATTAATAGAAAAGTAAATATAATTGAATCAGTAACACAATTTAAGCTGAAAAATTGTTGCAAATTAAATAGAAATAAAGAAATAAAATCCCACATTGCCACGGAAGCGGATAAAATTAAAAACAAAATTGAATTAAAATGTATTAACGCAAGAAAAAAAAGGACAAGCAACAAAAAAAAAAAAAACATACAGACAAGTCACAAAAAACGTTTTGTGATTCATAATTTCGATTCGTATTCGGCTTTTTATTGTTATTATTATATTTATGAATGTGTTCTTTTTTTGGTTTTGGGTGATTTTTGTAGAGTTCGCTTTTGTTCGCCATTTGGAGTGTGCGTGTGTTTTTTTTTTGTTTTTATCTTTCCCATTTCAAAATGTTTTTTTTTTAGGTTTTTTTTTCTCTCTCTGTCGGTTAATTGCATAAAAATAGAGGCCGTATATGTGTTGCCTTTTTTGTGTTTTTCGATCGCGACATAATTTGATTTGAAAACCTTGGACAAACAGAGAAATAAAAAGCGAACGAATAAAACTGGAAGCCAAAGAATTCTCGACTTTCGAAGGGCGATTTAAATCTCAAATTTTCTCCATTATTTCCCATTGTTTCGCTTGGCTTTTTGCGACGAAAATAGTTTATATCTAACGCATTGCATTGATTTCAACCGTATTTTTTTTTCTCAATTATTATTACTATATTTTTTTTTCACCAGTTTCACCCAGTTTTTTCACCACTTCTCAGAGTTATCAGCGAAATTTGCCTAGTGTGTTTTGTTAGTTTTTTTCCTTATTTTTAGTGTCTCGCCCCGCAAAATACCTACAAAAATATTTACATACATATGAACATACATATGTACATATGTGCGTATATTTATGGCTTTGTTATGTTGTGTATTTATTATTCCGATCTGCCGTTTGCAGTGCAGTTCTTTTTTTGTTTGTTTTTAATTATAAATACGAGCTGATATCAGAGAACGAGGGGGAAAAAACTAGGGAGCTCAATGAAAAAGAAACGGCTGCAAAAAATATCGAACCCTTTTTTTTGGCGAAATTAAAAGCGCTGTGAAAAGTTGAAGGAAATGCCTTTGTTATCATAAAAAAAAACTCCACTGAATACATTAAGGAACTTTGTCGGCATTTGACAAACATTATTTACGCATTGCAAATTATGGTTATCATTTTTCATACAGTGCGCATAACATAAACAACCCAAAATTTACGTAAGCAAATTTTATTTGCCAACTAACAAAACAAATAAAACCAAAAAACACATAAGAGTAAACTAAACTTAAAGCTGGTATGAAAAAAAAAAAAAAACCGACAACAACAAAATAATCACACACGAAAAACAATATTTCGTGTCAAAATTTGTGTCGTTTTTTGCTTCATTTCCTACTGCTGCTTTTGTTTTTCTAAAGAATTTTTATTTGGTTGCGGAATAACACGAAAATAAGTGTGATTTTGTTATAAATACGCAACGAATTTGACTCGACTGTCGGAATACCCTACATTTTATCGGGATTTTTAAGTCATATTGAAATTAAGATCTAACTTTAAAAACCCAGGAAAATGTACTTTTCCATTCGAAAATGCAACCCTGTATTAAGTTTGGAATATCAATTATTATAGTTTATAGTAGTTCAGTTTTGCTGTTTCTCACATATGTACATAAATTGATTAAGTAGTGGTAACTTTTATAATTCATTGTTTAATGTATGTATGTATACATTTCGAATTTGGGGGCGTGGTACGTTGGATGCTGACCTGCCCTTGTTTTTCTGCCTTTCGCTGGCTTGTTTGTTATCGCTTTGTTCTGATTTGTTTTTGGACAATGAACTTGAAATTTGGAGCACGCGTTTCACATGTAATTGAAATGTGTGTGAGTGTGGCGGGAGGGCGGGTGTTCCGGGGGTAGATGGGAAGCAGAGAGCAGCGAGAGAGAGAGCGCACTCACGCACACCAACACTAGGGCACAGAATCCAGGGGCGGATCGAGGGGCATGATATTATTAATAAAGCGGGCTAAGACTATGAAAAATCCAAATAAGTTGATGCAATTATGTAGCTAAATAAATTAGATATCTTGATGACTTCAAGTTCTTGTTGCGAAACTGAAATGTTTCCGCATCCGCTCCTGATGCAATCCGCTCACTTCCTCTCTCTCATCTCTTGCTCTCTGCGCCTCTCCGCCCTCTCCCACACTCTGATTCGCCGTTTTATATTTTTTTTTGCGCAGACGAATGCCGCTGTGAAAACAAAAAACCGAATAAAACAGCCGACAAAAACAAAAGGAAGGAGATACGTTGACGGCGACGTCACTCAAATGCGATTTGCAATTTTAATTTTTGCCGTTCATGTTTTGCAGTTTTTGTTCATATAATTAAAGTTGTAAAAATGAATTGCCATGCAGCAAAAAATATAAAAAACGAGAGAGAGAAAAGTAAATTGCAAATTGTAAATTGCTTTTGCCATAAAGGCGGAAATGCCTCGCTCAACAACAAAAAACACACATTCAAATAGTGCAGCAAAAACTAAAAACAAATAAGTCGAAATCGACAACAACAACAAAAAAGCGGCAAGCCAGAGGAAGAAGAAACTAAAAGCCACAGAAAAAACAGAATCCGATAAACCAAAACAAAAAAAAAACGAGCACAAAAAACAGCCCCAAAACTTAAGATATACAATTGCGTTCAAAATAGTAGTAAACTTACTTTAAGCATCACAAAGTCAAATTTATTGTAAATATTTGTAAGCATCGACTATTATTTTGAGTACAACTATAGGGAGGATAAACAACAAATGCGGTGTTCACAGAGCCGCAAAAACCCTAATTATCAAGCTTAGACAAATAACACAAAAAATGTGAATTACTGGCCTATGAATTTAATTAATTTTTTGCAACTCTGTAGGTTTTTTCCCCTCTTTTCCAATTTTTATCTCGACGATTAGTTGGCAGCAACAATTACAATGAGCGAAGAAAAAGCGGCAATCGTTTCCTGGGCGTAAAGAAACACAATTGTTTACAATAATTGCATGCGATTATTATTTATGTCAATTTCGAATATTCAGCTGGCAAAGTCAACAAACCCGGAAACCTTCGGCGAGAACAACGGAATTTTTATCGTAATATTTTGTTCGCCTTTTTGCATTGAACAAAAAAGAGCACGCACAAAACAAAACATGAAAAAAAAGGCACAAAATATATTATTGAAAAAAAAAAAACAAAAAAAAGAGGAGAGCGGCGAACAAAAACTGAAAATCGCACAAATAACACACAACTTTTGTTTGGCTAAAAATAAAACGACATTCGTTTTGCGTGTCTTTTTAGCACATGAAATAAATAATTTGTTTTCTCACCTTTACTTTATGACTTTTCGCGCTATCTTTTCTTTTGGTTTTTTTCTCCAATTTTTTATTTTTACTTTTGCTTTATGCTTTTTGTTTTGTTATTCGAATCGAATTGCACACGCAGCCGATTTTCGTTGAAAAAATTCATTCATTCATTTAATTTCTCGCTTGCCATTTTTGTTTCATTATCTTCGTTTTGTAACATTAAAAAAAAGAAGGCAAACAGCGAATTCAAAACGCGCGCTTTTTCTCAAAGTTAACGGTAACGCAAAACGGCTAACGGTAAACACGCAAAACAATGTTTTAATTCTAAACACGAACCACTAAGTTGTCAGCAGAACCACCAAAAATAATTGATTTGTTTTGGAAATGTTGATAATATTACCGTTTTTGTTGATATTTTCCGGAATTTCCTTTTCACTCAACGGAGCACCGAAAACTAACACACCGCGAAGCCGACGAATTTTCGAGTGAAACAGAATTGGTCTATGCGAGCTGCTTTTATAGACTTTGGCTGGCAACAATGTTGCCGGTGAGAGATGTTGCCGGTGAGATGTGTTGCCGGTGAGAGATGTTGCCGGTGAGATATGTTGCCAGTGAGAGATTTTGCCGGTGAGAGATGTTGCGCGCTCCGAAACGGTTGGCAACATGTTGAAATTGTTGGCGGGAACTTTGAAATCTTGCAACGTTTCTATGCTAGTGTACATTTAAGGCGATTTTGTGAAGCGCCCAACTTTTTGATAAATTGCCTATGCTAACAAGAGAAGTTAGCATTCGAGTTATTACCACAAAGAAATATCATAACATTTCTACAATTTTGAATAAGTTGCCACCGCCAGCGCTGCCAGACGGCGCCGAAAGCTCCTAAGTCCAGCGATCCAGCCACACAAACAGCTGATAAATGTTGGCAAACGTTGTTTACCAACGCAACGCGTGTTTGCACATCGTATTTTCGGAGTCGAATATTTTGGATGCTGGCCAAGAGATAGCACCCTTGGGCGGCCTTATCACCGTGCTCAGTGGTCGCCGGTCAGGGGGCCAGAGGTCACACGGCCTATCGTTATCGCTTATCAGTGCAGGCGACTGACTCTTCCAGCGCCGGCGACTCTTCCCAATTCGGCGGCAGTTCCCAACCGAACGCAGCCAAGTGAGTACTACCGTGGCACCCAATAAACGCACAAAATTGGGCTAGTTTCCAGCGCATTTCCCATTCCAGTTACAGAGACATGCAGCTGGCGCGCACTACACTGCCCCAAAAGCTTCGGCTCTGCCTTAGCCGGGACCTGAACACCAAAGTTGGCAACCCGGTTAACTTCGAAGGTGGAAAGCTGCGCGAAGCTTTAACTCACCATCGCCATCGCCATTTCCAGACATTCTTTCTACCGGCGATCAGACGATTTTCGGACTCCAAGCAGAGCACTTTGAAGGTGAGTCCATCCTGCACAGCAGAGCACACATAGGCGCATTAAAACCAATTGAGCCTTTGCGACGCGTACCCGCCCCGCTGCCCCCCATTTCTCGCAGTGATCGCGGCTCGTTAAGTGAGTGCTTCGCTTGTTTCGCCCTCGCATTGAAGTTTTTGGCACGCCATGTGCTTCGCTTCCACACAACCATGTGTTCCTGCTGCCACCCTTGCGATCAGCGGAAAGTACTCCACTGTCGGCTCATCGAGTGGGCGCAAGCAGCTAGTGGAATGGGGATCCTGTAGTTTAGTGTATGTGTTGTGTGCAGAGATAGTGTATCTGCAGCCTCGGCTTGGCAATTTGAATCTGTCGACTCGCATTCGCTAACTAATTCGCCTTAAACTCGTTTTCAGGCCTACTCGAATTTCTAGACTGTTTGCTTTGGCCCTATCCAGAATTATTCTGGCTATTCTCGTGCGCACTTGTTTAAACAATAAATCTGGCAATGAGCAGTGCATCAAATTTCGAATTCGCGCAGGCATATATGTACATATGTAGCACTTGCTTATGTTTATGTAGATATTCCGCATTTTGCACTTGACTTGTGGCGAGCAATTAGCGCTTAATTTAGGGGGAATTACCTGTTTTAAGTTTCAGCAACGTATCTATGGTTTCTGTGGTGAGAATAGGAGCGGGATTTGCAGATTCTGGCAGGGATTTAGAGAGAGCCCTGAACAACTAAATTTGTTAAACGTGGTGCTTCAAAACACGGCCCACTTTCCGCCATCTAAGTTGGTTATAATCTCCATCCCCACGTCCAAGTGCAACAGCTCCAACGGGGGCAGTGTCCCTATCGTTCGGCGACTTGAACTGGTGACCCAGACGGCTGATAATGATACGCCTGCAAGTGAAGCGATAGGAGGATCGCAAATAGATGGACTCCCATCCATGGGGGGTCGCGTTTTCGAACGCGTTTCGAGTTATGACACCCAACTCAGTGGCTGCCTGGGTATGTGGGCAATCTAATCGGGGATTTGGCAGGCCTATCGAGTGGTTGCCATGGTGCATCCGTGCCTAATCTTCGCTCGCCAGCTTATCATCGGAACTTTTCCAATGCTATTTGAACCCATTGAACCCGTATTTGTTTGTGATTTTTCGCAACCCACGGCGCGAACATAAATATTTTCGAAAGCTGACCAGGCAGCCGTCCATTTTCCACGCACCGCACAAATCCAACGATCGTCTTGGCGAGCGCATCGCATTGCAAACCACTCCACATACAGACTACATAATTACTATTATATTATTATTGCCGATTACTGCCATCCAAACAGAACATGGCCAATCAGAAACTACTGCAAACCCCGCTGGCGGTGGGCGATCCGGAGCTGGCCGATCTGATCCAGAAGGAGAAGGAGCGCCAGCGCGAGGGTCTCGAGATGATCGCCAGTGAGAACTTCACCTCGGTCGCGGTGCTCGAGAGCTTGAGCTCCTGCCTGACCAACAAGTACTCCGAGGGATATCCCGGCAAGAGGTGGGTCACATTATTGAAAGATTCCTTTTCGGCGCTGCCAGAAGACGTCGCAGATGGATCTCTAAATGATTCGATTAGATGCGCATACGACTAAGTTTTATGCCATATGAACCATTGGTGATCCGGGTGATCCTATTGCAGGTACTACGGCGGCAACGAGTACATCGATCGCATAGAGCTGCTGGCCCAGAAACGCGGACGCGAGCTCTTCAACCTGGACGAGGCGAAGTGGGGCGTAAATGTGCAGCCGTACTCCGGATCGCCGGGCAATCTGGCTGTCTACACGGGCGTCTGCCGTCCCCACGATCGCATCATGGGCCTGGATCTGCCCGATGGCGGCCACTTGACGCACGGCTTCTTCACGCCCACCAAGAAAATCTCGGCCACATCGATATTCTTCGAGAGCATGCCGTACAAAGTGAACCCGGAGACGGGCATCATCGATTACGACAAGTTGGCGGAGGCGGCCAAGAACTTCCGCCCGCAAATCATCATTGCCGGCATCTCGTGCTACTCCCGGCTGCTGGACTACGCCCGTTTCCGTCAGATATGCGACGATGTGGGCGCCTACCTGATGGCCGACATGGCCCATGTGGCGGGCATTGTGGCCGCCGGCCTGATACCATCACCGTTCGAGTGGGCCGACATTGTGACCACCACCACGCACAAGACGCTGCGCGGACCGCGCGCCGGCGTCATCTTCTTCCGCAAGGGCGTGCGCAGCACCAAGGCGAATGGCGACAAGGTACTGTACGACCTGGAGGAGCGCATCAATCAGGCGGTGTTCCCAACACTTCAGGGTGGTCCGCACAACAATGCCATCGCTGGCATTGCCACGGCCTTCAGGCAGGCCAAGAGTCCCGAATTCAAGTCGTACCAGGAGCAGGTGCTCAAGAATGCCAAGGTCCTGTGCGATGGCCTCATCTCGCGCGGCTATCAGGTGGCCACCGGCGGCACCGATGTCCATTTGGTGCTGGTGGATGTGCGCAAGGCTGGCCTGACCGGCGCCAAGGCGGAGTACATACTCGAGGAGGTGGGCATCGCGTGCAACAAGAACACCGTGCCCGGCGACAAGTCCGCCATGAATCCGTCGGGCATCCGTCTGGGCACACCTGCCCTCACCACGCGCGGCCTCGTCGATCAGGACATCGAGCAGGTGGTGGCCTTCATCGATGCTGCCCTCAAGTTGGGCGCCCAGGCCGCCAAGCAGACCAGCAGCCCCAAGCTGGCCGACTACCACAAGACGCTGGCGGAGAATGTGGAGCTCAAGGGCCAGGTGGACGCGCTGCGCAATAATGTTGTCCAGTTCAGCAGGAAGTTCCCGCTGCCCGGCTTGGAGAGCCTGTAGGTTGGGTCCTCCTCCCACTTCGTTGTTCGCCTTCTGATTTACACCCTCGAAAAATCCTCTCTGGATACCCTAACATGAGTGGAAGTAGTAGTTAAGCCATTAAAAGCATTTCAGTTTACATACCATAGCAATGGAGTTTTATTTGGAATGGAATCTCTAGTATTTACAGAAATATTCGCCTAGATGAGTAGTTCCTTGTGGGCAATACAAAAGAAAGGCCAAATGAGAGCACTTAAGTAGCTTTGCAACAGGTAACCGATGAGCATAACAATCCCCGCTAGCCAAGGTGCTTCCTTCAAGATGGTCGCACTGAACTCCCAGCAGCTCGATGGTTCCAAATGGTACACAGTCATGGAGAGGCGGTCATGTGCAGACAGTTGATTAAATAGTGCTCAGTGATCGGTGTACTCGATCTTGGTGAATCCCTTGGTGGAGCAGCCCATTTCGCGATGGAAGCGGGAGTTGTGGGTGGACAGGGACCACTTGGTCTTGAAGCTCTTCATGCAGATGAAGCACTCGTGCTCCTTGCCCTGGATCTCCGAGTGCCTGGACGCGATATGTCGCCGCAGTGCGTTCACCGACTTCAGATGCCTGCTGCAGAAGCTGCAGCTCAGCGGTGCGAGGCTGGTGTCCTGGACGTTCTCCTCATCGCTGCCCGCAGGTGCCGCTGTTGCCGCAGGTGCCCCTGATGCACTCCGTCCACTCTCGGATGCTTCTGGCGCTCTGGTCACGGAATCCGTCACAGCTTCCGTCTTCAAGGTGGCTGCAAGAAGGAAGAGAGAAAGAGATTGGGTTTCAATGAGTTCGCTGCAGAAAGATGGCTTCATCCGCGCCCAGTAAGAAGTGGATTGCAATTGAAGTGGTTTACATGAATTCTTTTATTTTCTCTCCCTCTCTTTCTCGCCGTCTCAGCAGCTATCTCTGTCTTCTTTCGGTTTCTAGCAAAACGCATTAAATTGATTAATTTAGTTCCATTTCGTTGACGTGTGGTAAAATCAATCTACGTACACATGGCTTAGACTTAGTGTGTTTTGGGATTGGAATTGGAATCGCTATCCATCCAGTTATCCATCCGGACCATCTACTGTCCAGCCGCCCCAACTGACCCGAAGATTCCACTTTCGGCCCTAATCCCCACTGTTTCGTTGATAAATTCTCAATTCGGCGAGATTCGAGGCAAAATTGGGTGAAACTAGTGGCTTGGTGGGTGATTCTGCTGGAGGATTAGGGCCGGCGGTTGGAACGGAGTCAATTTCGGGCACTGGGCACGTATAGATATAGATATAACATTAACTATATGTGTATACATAGATCGATAAGTAATACGTATGAGTTGTTCCATTTAACTAGATTATCTTTAGTATGTATGGGCTTTTGAGTTTTTGTCTTGGAGAGGATTTCTACAGGTTCCGATTTCTTTTTTGTTTTGTTTTTTGTTTTCTTCCTCCGCTTTTCTCATTTTTCGTTTGGGAAAATACTTTCAACTAATCCTAGCGTACGCGCTATGACTTCCGTTTTCACTTGGCTCGTGTGGGCTGCTACTCAACTAAGTTATACCAAATAACTAAACTAGGTCCGATCGCATTGAAGGGGTGTCTTAAACTAAACTAGAACTAATTTAGCTAATTTACAATCAACTGCCAACGCTTTAATGCTGAACACAGATGGTCAAAAGCGCGCTGGGTAATTTGGGTTAAATCGTATTTAAATTTGTACACAAGGGGTATTTTCTCATATTCTCATCCTCTCTGTTTGTGAGCAAAGTGCGGAGCTTCTCCAGGGAATCAACTCAAACTAGGCAGGGAATCTCCGCTGTCGCTGCCACAGAATTCTCTCTCTCTAGGGGTTATCTTAAAGTAGGTTAAGTCGCCTAGCTCTATATACAAAACTGAATAATATCAGAGTTTTGGGAAATACATATGAGTTTGCTGGGAGCTAAAAATCAAGTGATCCAAGTGATAACATTAATATTCTACAATCAAATTGAATCCGCGTGTTCTCTTCTCTTGCACATAGTATCACTCTATCTGAGCTATCAAACTCAAATCTTCCAAAACTCCTGTCTTCTCTGGGGTGTGTGTTTATATACATTATGGTGTGTCAATGGATCTTTGCCCTCGTATAATAAGGAAGTACCTAAAGCATATGGTAGACTACAATACAAGTGGTGCGTGCACGCATTACGTGGACACATGACATGGCTTGGTCAACGACGGGATCGCCAGCTCCACTCTCCGGTGACTCGACTCGACTCGACTCGACTTAGTGGCTATCAAGGGGTTATATATAGAACTATGTGGGTGTACTTCTTTCTGCTTTGCATTTAAGTTGACGAATTTGGCTAGTTTTTCTTTTTCTCTTTCGTTTTGGGGCCTTTGAAGGAAACACGAGGGAATGGGCTGGTTGGTTGGTTGGCTGGCTGGCTGGCTGGTTGGCTGCTCGCTAAGCTGGACGTAATTAACTATATCTCTCTCCCCTATCCTTATATACTATCGATCCCAATACAGATCCCAATCCAGATCCAGATGCAGATGCAGATCCGGCTCGCAAGCGTTCGAGGCTGATGAGTACGCATCAGTTCTCCGTCTTGATGGCCACCTTCTGCTCGTGCGAGATGCGTATGTGCTCCCGCAGGCTGTACTTGTTCTTGAAATTCTTATTGCACAGATCGCATTTGCGCGGCGGTTGTGGGGTGTGTTGGGTGCGAATATGTCTCCAAAGATTAACCGTGGTTATAACCATTTTGCAAAACTGACATTCTGTCCACTTATTATTGGGCGAATCTAAAAATATACAGAAAATACGTACAATCAGTATAACAGTCACGATTGCTGCTCGCTCCCTAATTCTTCTGGTAGAACACACCACATTCTTGGAGACATATTCGACAAACCACAACAACTAATAGTTAAATAAACATAACATAACATTTAACAAATAAACGAACGAATGGACTACAAAATATGGTACACAAAAGCATAGCGAGCTGCGATTCCCCGGCAATATAAAAGCCATATAGATACAAAGATAAATAAAGTACAAGCTTATGAAATAAACGAAATACACTTATATGTGATGTACATTCACTTCTGCAACAATTCAATTCACTTTATAAAACTAAAAACACTTTTATATAATAGAAACATACCTTTTAAGTGCAAAAGCCCCTTAAAACTGGCAACTAATCCCAAGTCAGATGCTTTGATACTCACCATTTGTCCCGCTGGCCTTGCTGTCCGATTTGACCGGCGTCACAGACACCGTAGTCGAGGGACCAGTCGTCGCACCGCCGCCACCCGAATCCTCCATCACTTGGCCGGAACCCGCACCCGGCGTCCCGCTGGCGGTGCCCAGCAATCGGGCTAGAATGGTTAAATCGGTTCAATAACCATGGTGCGTAAATATATAAGAAGCCCAAATATAACTCACTCATCTCAATGGCAATTTCGGCGTTGTCCGCATCCGCCTGATACTTCTCCTCCATTTCGGACTCGGTGAGTATCTCGTACTCGGAGGAGTATTGCGCCACATTCTGCGCCGCTGCGGTGGTGGCATCCTGCGACGTTTGTGGCGTTGCTCCATCCGACAGGCGGTCATCCACCTCGCCGACAATGTAATCGGGTATGTCCATCTTGACGGCGCCGCGCAGGAAAGTCATCTCGGCAGCTAAAACATCACAATGTATGGTTAAAAGGATGTCTAAGCATAGTGGCATACTCTCCAGACTCACTTTTCACTATGGTCTGCTCATCCTTGACGGCATAGTCAACGGTTTCGGTGGTGTACATGTTGTCGTCGTCGTCCGAGAAGGTGATCTTTCGCTTCTTAACCGAACTGGCCGCCGGCAGAGCCACCGCATTGGTGATGGTCAGGTGTTGCGTCTGCACGGGAGTCGTTTGTTGCTGCTGTGCTTGTTGCTGCTGCTGTTGTTGCTGCTGCTGCTGCTGTTGCGGGGGCGGCGCCGATTGCACTTGGATGTGCTGGATCTGGGTGGTTTGTACATGATGATGCTGCTGCTGTTGCTGTTGCTGCTGGACCTGCAGCTGCTGTGCCGCTGCTGCGGCTGCGGCGACCACCTGCGATTGCACCTGGCTGGCGGTGGTGGCCTGCAGCAATGTGGCCGTGGGTATTTCAATGGTTTGCGTGGCTGTCTGCGCCTGGGCCACATTGGACACCTGCTGGTGCTGCTGCTGCTGCTGCTGCTCGTTGACCGCGCGTATGGTGCTCGGTATGGTCTTGATCAGCTTGTGCTCGCTAATCAGCGGCGCCACTGGTATCTGCGGCTTCTCCTTCTCCTCGGCGGTGAGTCCTTGGACGGCCAGCAGCTCGGCGGTTTGCAGGAACGATTGCAGCGCCTCCTGCTGCACATTGACTTCGCCCTGAAACGGCAGTGGAATTAATTGGCGAGTTTCACATGGAGTCTATTAGCGATTGAAACGATTTTTGAACTATATGAACACCAAGATACTGTCATTGCATTGAATTGTATATCTTGATCTACATATTTACCAATAAAAAAATAGCTGGAACGCACCTGGTACATGAACTCGATAATCGAGTTGAGATCCTCGAACTTGATGAACTTAAATATAATGACCGGATGCGGATGTGGGTTCTCCTTGAAGATCTCCTTGAAGTACGACGAGCAGGAGGAGAGCACCACCTTGTGGGCCTTGATCCTGCGTCCATCCACGCACAGGCTGACGTCCACGAAGTCATCGTTCAGCCGATGGTTGTCCAGGGAGTAGGTGAGGTGGCGCAGGTAGTTGTTCCACCGCAGCGAGTACTGCTGGGTGGTGGCCATTGTGGCGTCCGCTCTGGGTTCGCCTCCTAGCCCTAGTCCTCTCCCGCTCTCCCGTCCGCTTCCGCGCCTGGTTCCACTGCCTCCGCCTCTTCCTCTTTCCAGTCCAATCCAATTAGCGCCAATAGTTCCCCGGAAAAGGGGAGGGGGGAGGGAGGGGGAGGAAGCTGCCCGCCTTGGGGAAGAAGTGGCGAATATGGAACTCCTCCGGTTTCTGCGGCCCCTACGACGATGCGGCAACGTGCGGTTCCCGTTCGCTGGACTTAGACCGCTCGCACTCTCTGGTTTGCCCGCTTTTACGGCGTTTGTTTACGGCGCTGCTCGCACACACGAATACGAATTTTTTTATATTCTATGCCAAACAAAAATATTATACGCCTCCATTTTGTTTTTTGCCAATTTCGGTGCAACCCTGCGTGTGTGCTGCCACCTACCAGTGCGCTGCCATTCGAGCCGGCAGGTGGCGTGCTGCCGGTGCTGCCACATCGACAGAGTGACAGTTGCGCGGGACATTCGAAATTAGCATACTACATAAAGCTAACCAATGAGCAACACAGCTGTGTAAAATTCTGATTTTAATGCAACTACAAATGCCAGTGAATGCGTAACAATTAAATGCAATAAACAGAATTAACCAATGCCGGAGTATATTTGATGCTTGGCACCACAGTGCTATAGCTTGCTTCGTAGAGTCGCTACCACAGTCTCACTAGAAACCGGAATATCAGGCGCAGCAGAAAGGCATAGACGATGCCACGGCACAGAAAGTCCAGCACGTAGAAGATCTTCATGCGGAATCGGGCGGCACTGCTGCTGTCGGGACTCTCATTCAGGAGGAACTCCTTGGCGCCGCGAATTCCGTGCTGGAAGAACTTCGTGTAGTTGATATTGGCGTGCTGCATGAAGCCAAAGGTGGAGCTAAAATGCATGGACAGATCGGTCAGCCAAACTATAGGAAGTGTACGCATGTTTTATGCCCAAACGACACTCACAGCTCGTTGGCCGGAACGACATCGTGCAGTGCCCGGAAATTGTTGTTCTGAAAGTGCCACTCGGTCATCGCAAACACTTGCAGGGCACTGAAGGCGGCGAAAATGCGGCGTTGCAGCTTCATCAGGCTGGAAAAGGCAGTTACATGCATTCAACTTCCCCATCAAATCTTAGAAGGCAACTTACAAGGGCTTCTCATTATACAGACGCAGCAAAGTGTCCACCACAACAGCCATGAGCAGGTGCATGGTGCAGAACTGAAAGTATCTCAATGATAAATCCATATTATCCCTTAATATTTGGGGCCAAACTCACCCGCACAAAGTGAAGAACCGGACAAGTGGTCATACTGCCGCCGGGCAGCCAGAGTGTCTTCTCGAAGGGATTCTCGCGGATGAACGTCTTACCGATCTCGATCACCTCGCCCATGGTGATCGGTGATATATTCGCCGTGGCACAGTTGACCACATACAGTTCGCTGTCCTTGCTCCGCGATTTCGATTCACTCATGAACTTGTACACCGACGTGATCAGTGTGCAGGCCACAACATCGGCGGGCACAAAATCGGCCACAATATTGGGATCACAGTTCTGGGATCGCAGTATGCCCACGCCGCAGGCCACCAGGAGTCCGGTGGGTCCATTGAAGTTGTCCGCCCATCCGGGCATGGGCTCCTCAATGGTGGATACCACTATCGATGGCCGGAAGATGAAGATGGGCAGCCTATCCCTGTACTCATTGACCACCTGCTCGGCCAAACTTTTGGTGAAGGTGTACGTGTTCGGCTGAAAGTTACCGTACCTGTAAGGCATATACACACACATATCATATACCATGTTAGTGTCCAGCTAGTTAAGAACTACTCACTTGAGATTGAAGATGTCCAGGATCTCCGCGTCGTAGGTCTCCGCCAATTTGATGGTGGTCCGCCAGTCGGCCAGCGGCGGATAGACGCGCTCCTCCACCTCCAGAACACTCGGATTCGAGTAGGTGGTGGACACGTGGACAAAGGCCTGCAGTTTGGGCCACTGCAAGGCCAACTTGATCAGCTCGTGGGTGCCACGGGTGTTCATTAGTATGGCCGTGCTCAGGGCATCATCAAAGCTAAAGAATCGTGTATTATTGAATTACGGGCATATATAAATATAGATCCTAGCCTGGATAATATATATACGCACCGCACACTGGCCGCCGAATGGTAGACAATGTTGACATTGCGCAACCGCTCCAGATCCGCGCTGCCAATGCCCAGACCCAGCTGCTCCACATCCCCGGCTATGGCCACCAGTTTGGAGCGGGCATCGGGCTGCTCACTTCGCAGCCGCTCATACAGCCTCGTTTCCCACTGCAGCTGCAGGCGCTCCTCAATGGTTTGGCCCTTTTTGGGCCGCATCAGCACGTAGATGCGGCCCACTTTTGGACACGAGCGCAGCAGCTTCTCGATCAGAGCCTTGCCCACGAAGCCTGCGCGAAAATACCAATTACTTTCCAATTTATTCACATCTCTGGGGATTGCGTAGGCATGGCATATACCCACCGGAGGCGCCCGTCACGAATATTTCCTGATCCTGAAATGCTTCCGCTATAGACATGGTGGTATGGTTTTAGGGCTCCCGAGTTCGTTTCGATGTCGCCTGTCAATGCGCACGTGTCGCTGCTCCAAGTGCTTCTGTGCGGAATACGGCGGACTCCGGCGGGAATATTGAAATCCGGCCAATCAGGTCTGTGACCCTTGGTCAAAAGGGATCACATCGCTGAATATTCAGTTGGTGGGGCTCACACTTACTAAGCGCTGAGTGCGATACCCTGTAGAAAGCGGGTAAGCCAACATAACATATCGTGTTCGCATAAAAACAACTGGTATATGCACAATATACATAACAGCAACAAGTAATATGCACAATCTGAGCCGCAAAATACTTTTGTGCTATAATTATTTCTATATATTACTCCCATTGGCATACTCTACATTCGCGATGTTATTAATGAGGCGTACTGATTATTCGAATATTCGGGTATACGCATATCGAAAAGAACCTCTAGTAGTATGTATGTACATATGTATGCATGTATGCTACCAAAACCGTTGCGAACAAAAACAAAGGAGAACAGCTAGAAACGCAAGAAGAAGAAGAAGAAGAACGAGACCAACAAAAACGGAACCGTTGAACCTCGAGAATCAGAGGAGAAAGCACAAAAAGATAACTTTTACCGTAGCACCCGAGCGCCAAATCAAGCAGAGCCCATAATTACACTGTCAGAAATGAAATCGAAGTCGACCTAATATCTAAATAATAATAATAATATATTGAAATAATATTATAAGTATGTGTAGTCAAGTTAGTTTTCAAGTGAGAATTAAGTGAATCTATAAATCCCAAATCGCACCCCACCGTTTTTCCAGTGCACTGCACTCGCCCGAGTGAGAGGAAGATAGAGAGATGGGTGCTCCGTCTCTTTGGCCGCATGAATGGAAAATGTTTTGGGAAAACCCGGATGAACGGCGCTTGCAGCCGCTTCTTTTGGCCAAACTGATGGATGAAATTATGCCAGCGATTTGTGTTAGCGTGTTAGCCTTATTATCTCGACTTTTATTTGGATCTTGGCCATTTAAAACGGCACTTTAATCGCATCATTAGCCCGCATGCGTGCGTGCGAGCGGGATAGCCGCCGATCTCCGCAGCCTCAGTTCGTCGACCTCTTGCCTCTTGCACCTCCTCTCCCTTTTCCACAGACAACCGTTGCAGTAACGGTAGTTAGATATACAAACACATATACCAAATTGTTCGCTTGTTGTTGTTTCATTTCATCAGTTTTTCAGTTGCATTTTCACATTTTAATTAACATTTTCAGGCGTAAACTTATCAATCGATACGCATGCAATTAGAAAAGTGTACAAATCAAAAAAAATACATATGTATGCTTGTATGCTTGAATGTGTGTGAATATCGCACGCGAAACTGCAGCCAAGTGTGAGAGTGTGTATGTGTGTGGGTGATTTTGCCGGCCGGCAAAAAAGTGGAAGAGAGACAGACAGAGAGAAGAGGGCGAGGAGAGCAGCAAGAAGCGAGAGAAGGAGAGCGGGGGAAAGAAGACAGCTTTGATTTTCCTTTTTTGTTTTCATATTTTTGTTTCACTTTGTTTATAATTACATCATAATTAAAAAATAATACATAAGGTTGCTGACGAATTGTACAAAACGCTAGTGTGTTGTTTGTGTTTTGCAATGTGTGTGTTCTTTTTACGCTTTGGGGAATATCTTCTTCAAGTTCTTCTTTATCTTGATGTCCTTGTCATGCCGCGAGTGTGTGTGTGAGCTTGTGGGTGTGCGTGTGTTGGGTGTTGTTGGTGTGTGTGGAATGGCAGAATATGCTTTTTCGCTCATTTTCATTTTTTGTAGTTCTTGTTATATTAAAGGTTTACAAATAAAAAAAAAAACAAAAAATACATAGTATATCATATCATATCTCAAGTGGAATAAATTAATTAAATTAATACGCTGGAACCACACAACACGCGCCCAAAACGATGATGACAATGATGATGGTGTGCAGGTGGTTCCGCTCTTTTCATCTTGTAGTTGGTGTTGTTGTTGATCTTGTTGTGCTGCACTCCAAACTTCCACCACTCGCACTTGCACTTTCGCTGCTGCTTCCTCGACTTCTCCTCCTCCTGCAGAATCATGATAGTGATCCTGATCCTCCTTCTCATCCTCCTGCCAAGACAAGCGATCCTTCTTAGAAGCACTTGCGGTGCACAATGGAGGGGCCGGACTCGTCGTACTCCTGCTTGGAGATCCACATCTGCTGGAAGGTGGACAGCGAAGCCAGGATGGAGCCACCGATCCAGACAGAGTACTTGCGCTCTGGTGGGGCAATGATCTTGATCTTCATGGTCGATGGAGCCAGGGCGGTGATCTCCTTCTGCATACGGTCGGCGATGCCAGGGTACATGGTGGTGCCACCAGACAGCACGGTGTTGGCATACAGATCCTTACGGATATCCACATCGCACTTCATGATGGAGTTGTAGGTGGTCTCGTGGATGCCGCAAGCCTCCATTCCCAAGAACGAGGGCTGGAACAGGGCCTCGGGGCAGCGGAAACGCTCGTTGCCGATGGTGATCACCTGTCCGTCGGGCAGCTCGTAGGACTTCTCCAACGAGGAGCTGCTGGCAGCGGTGGCCATCTCCTGCTCGAAGTCGAGGGCAACGTAGCACAGCTTCTCCTTGATGTCACGGACAATTTCACGCTCAGCGGTGGTGGTGAAGGAGTAACCGCGCTCGGTCAGGATCTTCATCAGGTAGTCGGTCAAGTCGCGACCAGCCAGATCCAGACGCAGGATGGCATGGGGCAGGGCATAACCCTCGTAGATGGGCACGGTGTGGGAGACACCATCGCCGGAGTCCAGCACGATACCGGTGGTACGACCGGAGGCGTACAGCGAGAGCACGGCCTGGATGGCCACATACATGGCGGGTGTGTTGAAGGTCTCGAACATGATCTGTGTCATCTTCTCACGGTTGGCCTTGGGGTTCAGAGGGGCCTCGGTCAGCAGCACGGGGTGCTCCTCAGGAGCCACACGCAGCTCATTGTAGAAGGTGTGGTGCCAGATCTTCTCCATATCGTCCCAGTTGGTCACGATACCGTGCTCAATGGGGTACTTCAGGGTGAGGATACCACGCTTGCTCTGCGCCTCATCACCCACGTACGAGTCCTTCTGGCCCATGCCGACCATCACGCCCTGGTGACGGGGACGTCCCACAATCGATGGGAAGACGGCGCGGGGCGCATCGTCTCCGGCAAATCCGGCCTTGCACATGCCAGAGCCGTTGTCGACAACCAGAGCAGCAACTTCTTCGTCACACATTTTGTAAGCTGCAATGGGAAGAATTCGGGTTTACCATTAGTTTGTGATTACCTTTCGCCTTGGCGATGAATAATGCCAAAACCTGAGAATTTGTATGGTTTTCTTGAATTTCGATCTATCAATGTACAAGTGCCATAAAAAACTAACATAATTTACGTGTGAGAGTACATACACAATGCGATTTTAAAACTTATTCCACTCGTGTGATGTTTTGTAACAACTAAATTTAAATCATGGGTAAATTTATAAAAAACTAAGAATCTTTTTCCTGGAAAAACAAAAACTTCTTTAATTCCGACTTAGGTACTTTTCCAACCAAAGACAATTTTTACTTGCAATCGAATTGGAAAAAGAAATTTGAAAAAAAAAAAAAACCGTTACGAAAACCGAGGGGAATGGCAGCCCCACCCCGAAAAAAATAAAACCGCAATAGGAAAATGCCGAAAAGGAAGGGGAGAAACTTCTGGACAGCACTTAACGAATGCCGGTGCAAAAGAAAGCCGCCAAAGAGAGCACAGCTTGCGTGTGCGTGTGTATGCGCCCTTAAAATGGCGGCTGCCTAAACTTGAATTTGGACTCCGAATTATAAATGAAAAAAAAAGGGGCTACCAAATGCACACTAAACTAGTTAACAATTATAAGTCGCGAACTTTTTCGAAGCCAGTTAAACTTTACCTTTTTGTTCGATTTAACAAATTCAAGGCGTGAAAACTACTGTAAACTCAAGTGGCGAGCTGAGCTGAGCGACCGCACGGTTTGAGAGGAATGACTGGAATGAACCAACTGAAAGTGGCTGGTAAATGTCGAATGCCAGTTAACTGCGTTTTTCGATCGCTGCCTGCGTCGGCGTCACCGTAGGCGTCGCTCCCTCTCGCCATCTCGCTCGCTCCGCGCCATGGTCGCCATGGGTGCGAAAGAGAGCGCTGGTGTGTTGAGTTGCGGCGGCCAACTTTTGTGACCATATATGGTCATGTTTCGAGGCGAAAAGCAAATCGTCGTCTGGCTTTCGCCCTCTCACAAACACACTCGCTCTCTCTCTCGCCATTTCTGCGCGTGTGTGTGTACATGTGTAAATGTTTGAAGGTTTTCTCCATTTTTGCAACTACAACTTTGAAAAACCGGCAAAAATGTCTGCTTAAGCCGAAACGGCTGCCTACGTCACTATTTTCAAGAACCTGATCTAGTTTTATACATTATAATATGCATATTCTGGCGTCTTGGGGCGTGGGAAAAAAAGAAAGTGTTGGCAAATTCATTTGCAAATTCAAAATGTGACATAGCTTTGGGTGAAATCGTGACACGCCCATATACATAGGTGATCATGGCTTTTATCACTTATTAGATCCTATCTTTTGATTTGAGGCTTTTGAATGGCTTTGGTTTATTGTAATTTCGATTTTCGTATATCCTGAAATCTGCTGTTGTAATCCTGATTCTTGAGTTATGGTATTCGAAACCCTGGTTCTGTTAATTTTGATGACTTTCGACCTCTTGGCATTCGAAACGTTTGGATTTTGATTGAGAATTTGGGGCCAAACTTGGGTATTTTTGGAGTTTTGGTCAATACAATAACTCTTTAGCTCGTGGCTAGCATTTTTCAGATCACTTTCAGCACTGGCACATAAAAAAATGTTTTGTTTACAAAAAAATCACACTTTTCCGCGGCTTTTCTCGATTATTGTTCTTTTTTTTCTTTTTGGTGATGGTGTTTTCGTGGTGGAGAGGGGGAAGCTACTTACATTTGGTGTGTTTTATTAAAATTAATTAAATAAATATAAATTAAGTCTTTCGGTTTGGTGTCTCTGGATTAGACGACTGCTGGCTGATGGAGCGGCTTTGTGTCGGGAGGAGTATCCACACAGCACAAGAACTCAAACGGTAGTGATATGAAAACTGGTCCCGCCGCCCGTTTTATAAAGCCCGCTTAGCGCTAAAACCTTATCAGCCACAGTGCTCTCCGCTCTCAAGTCGCGTTCAAAACTTTTACCATATATGGGTATGAATTGTTCGCCGAATCGGTTTTCATTTTCGGAGAATTTCCTCTGCCCAAGTGCAACTGTGTGTGCGTGTGCGCCTTGTATATTATATCGCCATGAAAAGTGTACTTCCATGAATCCTATCAGTTGCGGCATGTGATTCAGTTTGGGGGTTACTCATATTCGATACTTCGGCTTGTTATCTTTATGCTGGGATGGCCACAGTGCTTTTACACATTTTTTACCCAACTACTCATTGTATGCAAAAAAAAAAAAAACATCTGTATGTGGCAAGTTTATTAAGAATGTACTGTGATATTATAACATAACAGTAATAAAATTCATACTAGTTTACGTTTACTGTTGGAGCAACAATTTTTGTAAGAAGGTTAAGTTCCAATAAGAAATTGCCATCTGCATGCAAGCAATGCAAATTGGATTCAGTTTATGATGTTTATAAAAGAAAATAGGCATTTAATGCAACACAGTTTTTACTAAGCTGTTGCACATCCTCTAGAAGGGCATTCGCTAGTCGACGAAAAAACAACACTAAAGCCGGTTTTAACAATAACGGCGAAACAGCTGCCAGACGAGAGAAAAGTACACAGCAATAAACATTCGCACATTGATGCTGATCCTAAACGTGCAGCATTTTTGCTCAAATTGATCATTTTTGTTGCAAAGCTTTAGTATTAATGTATGTATTGAAGGTGAGTGGATTTTTAATAGTTTGTAGTGGGAATAATGCATATATTCATTCATAAATAATAGGTAATCGATTTTTCCAGTGCAGTCTATGCGTTTGCGCAACAGAGACGACGAGAGAGACGCCTCAGTCACACACACACATACGCAGTCTAAGCTGCTCTCCCTCTTTTTCTCTCTTTCTCTCTCTCTGTGGCTTGCGGCACTTTTCCAGAGGCTGTGCTGTGACTCAGTGAGCATTTGTTGTTGTTGCCGCTAATGATAAGCGCCCGATTCTTAGTTTTCTCCCAACTTGTTTTGTTTTATTTTTTTTTTGTGTGTGTTTTGAATTTGAGCTACGGCATAAACAATATTGAATATCTCAATTGTTATTGCAAATGCATTCGTATCAGACGCCTTGATGTTTTTCGCCCAAAAATTCGTCCGCTTTTTGTCAGCGCAATTTGCGTTTGCCGGTCGTGCCATCTCGCTCGCGCGCGGCTTGCAAACAAAAAAGTGAAAGAGGGAAAGCCGCCAGTGTTGTTGCTTTTGTTGTTATCGTTGGCTGCACACACATGGCAATAAGTAACCATATTGTAGACTTATTTATTTGCGCGTTTTCGTTGACTAATCTTTGTTTAAATAATTGCCTTTTTCGAGCCAAAATGACGCATAAAAGGAAACGGCAACATGCGGCGCGTTGAGCATGCGAGGGCGTGAGCGAGATGGCGCTAGAGAGAGCGCAGCATAAAAAGAAAACAACAAACGCGCACACACATACACACACACGCGAGTGGCGAGACACGAATACACACACGCACACATGGTCAAAGGAGTGGCTCCAACGTCGGTGACGTCGCGCCCAGCCACAGCCCCCGCCACGCCCCGCCCCGCCCATCCTTCCGCTCCCCCATTCCTCCCCCCTCTTCGTCACCATCCGTTTTGCCGCATTTGGTATTGCCATCTTTTTTGGCTTTATTTTGCTTTTCGAGTAAGCCAAAAAATTGAAATCAAAGCGGAAAGTCCGAAAATTGCGAAAAACCACAATTGCACATGTAATGGATTCGGCGAAAAGCGCCGAAACTCAAGCTTGACCAAAAAATCATCTTTAAACTAACATTAATATCATCATTACCACTAAAATACGTTAGAAAAGAAGAAATATTCCAGGTATTTGTTTTGCAAACGATTTCCTTTATTACAATACATTCTCGGGGAATCATTGCAAAACAGCAATATTTAATTCCAGTTCTTTATCATACTCAAAAGATTTTCTGACAAAATGGTTTATAGATAACATGTTTGTTGTCGAAATGGGACTCACTTAAGTTCGAATGAATACAAATTATTCTTATTGTTGAAAATACTCGCCGACGTCATCGCGAAATTCCTTAGTCTTCTTCTGCTTCTCTTTCTTTCGCTGTCTTCGGCAAAAGAAGAGAGACAGCGAGTGACACAATCTTATCTTGCAGACGAGTCTTTGGAAATGGCCCCAGTTAACGGTGAAAAACATATAGCCAAGAATGGAGCGATCGCCAAGCGATGGAAATTGGCTTCAAATTGCTCCGAATATGGCCAGTTGGTCATTGGTTGGCATTGGATTGTGGAGAGCTACGAGATCAACTCGTTCTTGTTCTCGTTCTCTATCTCCTTCTCTGCCCGAAGACGCTTCTTTCATCGCTTCTTTCTCGAATGGTACATATTCATAATGTATTTGGTGTTTGGCGTCCATCAGCCCGCTTTAATGGCCATAAAACGTGTCTTGGTTTGTGGGCCACATAGCAAGCAGCGAGATCTGGAAAAATGATGTGACATTGGAAATGAGAAATAGGTGCATCTGCAAAGTTGTTGATCAGAGTTGATCCCATTCATGAGAAAAGTCCATTATGTATATTATTTTCCTATTTTCTGAAAGATAACATAAGCGTCTTTCTATTCTATTTGCTCTTTAGAACGCAATCCTAAGTTATTTCGGCTCTATTTGCTTTTCTTAAGTTCGTTGCTCGATCGTTTGTTATTTTTTGCTTTTTTGGCAAGGTGACGAAAAAACTCGCAGAAATTTCCCCTGGCCAATGGCTTTGGTTTTCGGTACTATTAACCTTGCGCCACTGAATTTAAGAAGAAAAAAAAGCTGTTTTTGAAGGGAAACAGTTCGAAAAGAGCTGGAATCCGACGGAGGGATGGTGGTCGGGGGGTATTGAAACTAGAAATACTGAAATGGCCAAAAGCAGCGCGTTGATGTTGACTTTGAAACCGCTATTAAACGAAAAAACAACAACATTTAGCCATGATCAACGACCTTTCTCCAAAAGTACGTACGTAACTCGTCACGTTTTCTACGCTCACACACACGTAAAGCGAAGTAAATGAAATAAACAAGTTGAGCGACTTGGGCCAAAGCCATTGTCAAGGTCATTGAATGTGAAAATTTTCGTACATTTTTCGCATTTCATTTGGTTTTCTTCCATTTCCATTATTTTTCATGCACGCACCGCCAGGGTTGTCACCCCACCCGTTTACGCTGTATCGCTGTATTTTTGTATCTATGTGTGTACATATGCATTTGTATTTTTCGCATTTCAACAGCTGGCATTGCAGTTAACCGCTTTTGGCCATCTTCAAGTTGCAAATACATTTTCACTCCGGCGTTTTTGGCCATTTCAGCATCGCAATTGGGAAAAATTAAATACAGCCATTAATTGCCCGTCTTAATTAGTTTGCGTGCACAAACACGTTCGAAAAAGTTTATGGCGATGGTGGGAGAGGGGGTTGGGGGGTATATAAGGGGTATTGAATGTACGTAAGCTTGGATCGTGCGTTTGCAGTCGGGGGAGTTAAGCACCCGAAACCCAAGGCCATGGACGGTTAGTTTGGCTAAAAAGGCGAAAAAACGTTTGAAGAAATCTCAAAATCTCAGCCGCAGAACAGCACCGCTCAACATTTTAGCAGCAAAGTAACAACCCAGATCATTATGCTTAGGAGCAGTAAGGTATTAAATAATTGTGTCTTAAATAAAAACAACTTCAATTCCTAATAAAAAATCATTATATATTTAACTCATGTAACCTCCTACAAAACGAAGTTGCTAGTATTCTGACCTCCACTGTGGCCAATAAAACATCTTTCGCTCCAATAGAAAATCCAGGTATATAGTAGCACTCGGAGTAAATCGTGCTTGCTTTCGCGCGATCCGTGGTGTATAAATGCCAACACGAATTTATGTTAATGTAATAATGCTAAATCGCCAAATTCCATGGCGCTAATTGCTCCGTTAATTGGCCAGCGCACTGCATTGCCGACATTGTTGCACCTGTAGTGGGGGCGCAACCACGCCCACCTGTCTGCAAAACTCGGAAAATGCCCGAGTTGCAGACGCTGCGGGAAAGCGAAAGATATGAACTATTTCGAATTTCAATTTTTTCGCCAGATTTCACTCATTTTCAGTGGCTAGACAGCTGTGGCTAGATCCAAACTATTGCTTATATTATTATTATTATTATTATTAGTATTATTATTAGAATAGAAAATTCCAATGTACCATAACAATATTCATTTCCATTTATAGCACTCTTCACAATAAATTACTGCTAATAAATATGTGCAAGTGAACTTTCAGTGAACTGGTTAAATTGCTTGAACTTTGCCACCACAGTCAAACTTCTTGAACATGGACGATAATTATTTCGCAACTTTGGTTAGCCTTTTTTAGTTTTTGAATCATATATTTTTTATAGCAGGTTGGGTGTGCTATAAATAGGTAATAGCTGTCTTTAAGCCAAGTAACCAATGTAAGCAAGCCCAACTGTAAGTTCTCGGTAGCACATTATGGTTTATTTATAGTCCTCTGTCTCATGGCAATTGCTCAATAAAATAGTTGACTGTGGAGGGTGAAAAAAAATTTTTCATTGAGTCATTTAGTCGGGCCACCAGACAGACACACTGCACTGCACTCACGCCCATTGAGTGTGTTACTACAGGGAGCCAGCCTCTCAGACTGAAAGGTGCAAGACATGAGCACAGCGGTGGCCGCAAAAATAGTGCTCAACAGCGCTAGCCCCACAATGTAAGTGGAAGCAGAAAGAGTACTTCAAGCATCATTATTTGGAAATTAAAAATGTAAAGATTTACGCTTGAATGAGAAGCACTGCCGTTGTGAGCACAACTGTACCCACATGGCTCAGTCTGGAAGACAGACCCCTCCATCTACTCCGCGTCTCTTCACCTGTCTCCGTCGACTCTTTAGTTGCTTT